TATCCCTGCAGGCCAGAAGAGGGCGCCAGATCTCGTTACAGATGGTTGTGGGCCACCCTGTGGGTGCTGGGAATTGAACCCAGGACCTCTGGAAGAGCAGCCAGTGCTCTCAACCTCTGAGCCACCTCTCCGGCCCAGTAACCAGGTTTTTAAAGTGAATGCTGGGAATAGAACTCAGGTCCTCATGCACAGGCAGTAAGCCCTCCATTGACTGAACCATCTCTCCATCCCTGATTAATTAACTTTTGAGATGGGTGGGGTGGGGTGGGTGGGTGTTTCACAACAGGAAATGGAGTAGTGATTTTTCCAGAGGGGAAGGCAAATAAACAAACAGCACCCCACCCCTTCTCGGTCCCATATGTGTTTACAGAGTACTTCAGAAGCTGAGCATCATGGCCCACAGCCGCGGTCTGACACTTGGGAGGCAGAGGGAGGAGGATTATTAGTGCCTTCCAGGCCAGCGTGAGCTACAGAGTGAGACCCTCTCTAAAAAAATAAACTGTACCAAACGGCACATTTCCAGAGTGGACACGTGAAAGCATTCCTTCCTTTGGCCTTCTGACTCCCACAGGGTGTTGTGATACCGGGCAGGTCTAGCCAGCCGCCCTGTCCTCTGCCACCGCCATTCCGGCACGCTGGCTGCTTCTTCCCTTTCCCTGGTTCCTAGTCACTAACAGCCCTTTCTTGCTCCTCCTCTCCTGGCCAGCACCAGCCCCGGGTCTCTGGGCCTACATCCAGTCTTGCCCCCCCCTCCCCCGCCCGCCCCCCTCCCCCGCCCCGTCTCCTTGAATTTGGCTCCCAAGCAGGCCTACCCCCCAGCTCTGTCCTCCCTGCTTGTAAGCCAAAGGAAGTAACTTAAGCAAGACAGACATTTCAGAGCCCAGTGAGAATTTCTCAATCACGCAGAGACCCTAAGTCAGGCAGGGCAGAATCCAGGCATTTCGTCCACGGGCTCCTGGCTGGATGTCCAAGCAGGGGTGGTCGGAAGGGTGCCCCGGGATAAGTTCCGGGTAAGCTCTGGACTTGCTGGTGGAGCAGGCCAGAGCTGAAGCCAGGGTTTGGTAGCAAACAGGAACGCCGAGGCCATGTTCTTTAATCAGACCTGCCAGCCCCGCCTCACTGGCCTGATCCCTGAGTGGGATTTCGAACTGTGCTCTGCCAATGTCCTGGGGTATTCCGAGGCCAGAAGGGGAAGGGGAAGGATGTTCTGGCTCCAGGAGGGCAGAGGAAGGACTCTGTATTCAGTAAATATTTGTTAAGCCAATCGATACCTGTGTTTCTGACACCGGGGAGGAAATGTAAAGACAGGGCCTGCCCTCCCTTCATCTGCAGTCCGGTGGGAGTCACGATGGAGTTCCTGGGGTCACTGAAGCCTGTGACAGGGACAGACACTTGTAGTAGGGTTAAATTCCTTCCAGCACAGAGAGCTCCTCTGTGTAGGGGGGAGCTTCTTCCTATACAGAAGTTCCTCCGTGTAGCGAGAGCTGCTTCCAGTCAGGGTAGGTCCCCTCTGTGGGGAAGGTCTCTCCTCAGAGCGGACGTGGAATAAGAACAGTGGTTGTCGCACACATGCCCGCCCCCCCCATCCTGCTACCCACCTTTAGTCAGGAGGCCGTAGGCTGGTGGAGGTGGTGGAAAGGTTGGGTTAGGGAAGAGGGTGGCTTGGTTGGAGTAGTGTGTGTGTGTGTGTGTGTGTGTGTGTGTGTGTGTGTGTGTGTGTGTGTGTGTAGTGTCATATGTGATTCATGCCCTGAATGTACCATCCCATTTTACTGATGAGAAAACAAGTGCCCATAGTTCCAGTTGGGAGGTGTTCGGAGCCCAGCAGAACCCAGGGCAGAGCAGAGCGGAAGTAAGGTGGAACAAGTTAGAAGAAGGACCAGAACCCGAGTAATAGGGGTCTCTCATCATCACGGGACTTGGTGCATGTTCTGTAATCCTCGGGTGTATGGGTGTGCCTGGAGTTTTTCTTAAGATTTAAGGCCCTCCTTCCTGCACCCAGATCTCCTTATTTTACAGAAATCATGTAACTGAAGCTAGGGTCGTCTTGGGGTCTGCTGGGGGTCATGGTTCTGGGAAAGGGGCCACAACTTAAGAAATACCTCTTGAGCAATGTGGATGATGGAGAAGTTGAGAGAAACTGGAGTTGGATGTGCTGAGCCCTGGGCGCTGGGGCTGCAGAGGCGCTCAGCACTTTTAGACACCCAGCCAGGTCTATTCTAGGGCCTGGAACTGAAAGTCCTTTTCGATGACGCAATCGGGCTGTGGTCTTCCTTTCTTGACTCATTCACCCTCCTCAAGTCCTAGCTCCCTCCCCTAGACCACCCCCAAACTCCCCCCTCAGCACCAGATACCTCCTCCTTCATCGGAGCCCGAGGTCAGAGCCCTGGAGGGCGGGAGGTCGCGCTTGGGCAGGTCAGCCCGGTGAAGGCAAAAGACAACTTCTACCCTTCAGGGGTTTTTGTTGTTGTTGCTCCTATATTATTGTTTTGGTTTGGTTTAGTTAGGTTGAGTGGCTGTGGGTTTTTTTTGGGGGGGGGTTGTTTTTTGGCTATTTTAGATTTATTTGTTCATTTTTTTTTTAAGATTTATTTATTATGTACACAGTGTTCTGCCTGCATATATGCTTGCAGGTCAGAAGAGGGCACCAGATCTCATTACGGATGGTTGTGAGCCACCATGTGGGTGCTGGGAATTGAACTCAGGACCTCTGGAAGAGCAGCCAGTGCTCTTAACCTCCGAGCCATCTCTCCAGCCCCTATTTGTTCATTTTTTTAATTTATATATCTGTATAAATGAATTTATGTGCATCATGTGTGTGCAGATGCCCTGGAGCTGGAGGTATAGGCGGTTGTGAACCACCTCATGTAGGTGTTGGGACCCACACCCAGGTTCCCTGGAAGAGTGGCAAGTGTTTTTATTTAAGCATCCAGCCATCTCTTCAGCCCCTGGTTGGTTTTTTGAGACAGTCTCATGTCACCCCTGGGCTTGGAACTCACTATGTAGCCAAGGCTAGCCTTAAACTCCTGACCCTCCTTCCTCCCCCTCCCCCTCCCCCTCCTCTTAAGTGCTGGGATTACATACAAATGCATGTCACCATGCCATCTAGGTTTACGGAGCAGGAATATTCGGCTCCTGTAGACCCAAGCCCAGGGCTCCACCTGAACCCCAAGCTGTAGGACCAAGGCTAGTACCCCAGAGACTGCTCATGGACAGTGAGGAATATGACCTCCTCTCTGCGCAGCTTTGGAGTCGTGGCCTGTGGCTGATGGGGATGGGGAGAGGCAGAGGAATCTGAACTTTAGGAGAGAGGAAAAAAGTGTGGTGGTGGTGGGTGGGGGTTGTATAACAAAGGAGTTTGCTTACGACTAATAATCTCCAGCTGCAAAAATACCAAGAGGAGGCCAGGCTGGCCGGGGACGTCATTTCTTGCCAACTCCTCACCGGCCTGCTGCTGAACGGGACCCTGCTTGGCCTTTGGGGAGGTGAGGGAAACCCAGCCAAGGGTAAATATATGAGCGCAGGCATGGCTACCCTTCTTTCCCAGAAGTGGGAGGGCATGCAAGCCAGGAGAGGGGCTCCTCACCCAGGCAGGTCACCCCATCTCGAGGCCTGGACGGACTGTGGACCTGCAGCTGGGAGCAGGGCATCACATCTCTGCAGGGTTCTTCTCTTCCCTTCTTGCCAAGGGTGGATGGGGGGGGGAGCGGGTCCAGTGTGTTGCCAGTCCTAGGGCTGGGCAGTGACTCAGGAAGCCTGAGGAAGTTGGAGGGGAGGCCATCTGTGCCAGCTGGTGCTGGGAAAACAAGATTTGACTGATGAATTTTGCATACATGCCAGCGGCCCCCCAGACCCCCGCAGTGCCCACCGAGGAAAGGGCACACAGCCCTGTGGATTCTCAGTCGTCCGGCTGGCTGCGTGGGGCCGCAGAAAGGTCCCCGCTCTGGGATTTGAGTTTCCTTTGGAGGTGGCCCAGCGGTTGCATTTTAATCTGGTTTCTCTGTGGTAACCGTGCGTGGGGCAGCCTGGTCGCCTGTAACTCTTACACTGAGCTTTCTTCCTCTCTGGCCTTGTCCTCCTCAGTGCTCCTTGGCCCTGCTCCCCAAGATGGGGTAGTCTTGGGAGCCCAGAGGGCAGCGTACCTAGGTTTGGGAATGTGTTGGCATTTGCCGGGATAATAACCTCATTCCTGTGACCTCTTTCTTTCTCCACGCGTCTCAGGGTGGGGTTACCAGAGGGGGGCCTGAGGAGGAAACCGTTTATGAGTGCCTCTACTGACTGCTTTCTCTTCCCCCTCCCTCCGGCCTCAGTCCTGTGACTGTGAGTCAGTGACCAGACAGCCAACTTCCCTGGATACCACGTTCCCTTTACCCCCTCCCACTATTAAGAAACAGCCCCTGGATCCCTCGGGGAGGGGCGGGGGGGGGAGGGGAGGACTTGAGCGGAAGCCCATGGTTATATACCTGTAGCTGCGAGGCAGGGGATTGTGGATAGTGTGGGATAAGCTTCAACCCAAGGCAGGTTGCCAAAAGGTGTCTTGACCTGTCGTCATCGAAATCGGGGCAGATAAAAAAACAAATCTCTGCCTTAGGAACTTCCCAGTTCTGAGGGTGTCTGAACGGGGTCCGTGGGGGGCATGGAAGCCAGGGTTGTGTTGGGAAGGAAGCCAGCAATTGTCCTCGTCCCATCTCCAGCCCTCCACGGCTCACAGTGACCATGGCAGCCGCTGCTCACCGTTCGGAAGCTCCTCTCTAGGTTTATCTCCAGGGTCCTTCCTTCACCTTCCCCCCAGGACTCTGCCCCGCATTTCCTGTTCTTCTGTGCTCCCCCGGGATATGAGGGGATTCAGCAATAAGAACCTTGCAGAAATGGGGGTGTGAGGGGAAGTTTGACTCCTGTTACTGAGTCCCAACCTTGTGCCCCCAACCTTGTGCCCTGCTGTAAGGACTTAATATTTTGGAAGTATTTTTCTCCAAGCTGAGATCATTTATGAACATTCTGCTTTCCAGTTTTGTTTTTTTTAAAGCTTACGAAACATGTCCAGCTTCCAGCCAGTACTTCTTGTTAGTATGAAATGATTAGACTTACCGTGTAAAGTGAATATAAGTCTGGCCCAAACCAAAGATAGGTGCTATTTCAGTTAGTTACAGTGCTCTTATCTCAAGTAAAAGCAAATTAAAAAGAAAATATTGGGGTGAGCGGCCAGGCCTCTCCTCCCGTCTTTTGGCACTCCAGGACAGCTCTTTCCTGTTGAAGGCTGGATTAGAATTGGAATAGCCTGTCAGTCAGCCAGTGTTTACCTAATCCCCCTGCTTATGGCAACCCTCAGCCCAGGGTGGGGTTGGGGGTTGAGTATATTCAGAGACTTGTATTCGGAGATGAGACCAGATACTTGGGAACACCAGGCGTATCAGGACTGTGACTGCCGGTGACACCCACAGGCACTCAGGGGAAGGTGACTGCGGCTGTCTGGGGGAGGAGTAGGCCCCAGAGACGAGCTCACAGGAGGGCCGGGTACCTGTGGGAGGGCCTGGCCCACAGAGCTCTCTCATTCATTCTCCAGACGTGGAACAGATGGCTATCGACTGGCTGACAGGAAACTTCTACTTTGTGGATGACATTGACGATAGGATCTTTGTCTGCAACCGAAATGGGGACACCTGTGTCACCCTGCTGGACCTGGAGCTCTACAATCCCAAAGGCATTGCCCTGGACCCTGCCATGGGGTGAGAGTGAAAGCCAGGGTTCTGATTCTGGAGAGGGGGGTCCCGGTGCCCGCACCCCCTGTTTAACACTTGTGCGCCCACAGGAAGGTATTCTTCACCGACTATGGGCAGATCCCAAAGGTGGAGCGTTGCGACATGGATGGGCAGAACCGCACCAAGCTGGTCGATAGCAAGATTGTGTTCCCGCACGGCATCACCCTGGACCTGGTCAGCCGCCTGGTCTACTGGGCGGATGCCTACCTCGACTATATCGAAGTGGTAGACTATGAGGGCAAGGGCCGCCAGACCATCATCCAAGGCATCCTGGTGAGGGAGCGTTGTTGGGGGAAACGATTAGCCAGGGTCTTCTGGTGAGGGGGGGAGTCAGGGGAATTGACCTCTAGGGCTCCTGGTAAGTGTGGACAGTCAACACGTGTCTTCTGGCGGGAGCGGAGCCACCAGGAATGTGTCAGAGGATTGGGGGGATTATAGTCTCCATTCTGATGGGAACAGTCACTTAAAGGCCACCTTTTACTTCCTTTTCCTTACTTGAGACTTAAAATAGCCCCTGGGGGATGAGCAGGCAGTTGACAAAAGCGAGGCGCAAGGATGTTTGGTAATTTGCCAGAGGTCACACAGCTGGGCAGCCAGCACTTGATCCCGGCCAGGAGGTCTTGCCGCCCGGTGGTGGAACATCCACCCTGGAGTCACTTGCCCGAGCAGCCGACCCTGGCTTTGCCCGGAACTCTTCTGGTTTTAACCTTGAAAGCCTCACAGACCAGCAAACCCCTGATCTTGGGTGAATTGAAGCAGCTGGCCGCTGGAGGCTTCCTTGGGACACGAGTGTGTACTCGGTCCCCCCAAAAAGCTGCGTCGAGCGGCACTGTACACAGTTCTCTGTGGGCAGGGTTTAGGGCCCGATTCTGACTCGGCTGAAGACCGTCAGAGCATCTACCAGGAGCTTGATTCTGTGAGGGACGTTTTTCCTGCCCTCAGTGGGAGGAATGGTTCACCGATCGGCACACCAGATGTTGGATAGCAGCGTCACCATAGAGGCAGACCATGGGGTGGGGTGGGGATAACGTCTCTTAGAAAGCTCCAGAAGTTCTTTAGAGAGGTACTTTGTGAAGGATGAGTAGAAGCTTGACAAACAAATTTTCCAGAATAGAGGAATCAAGAGTTTAGCACTGAGTTAAATACAACGGGAAGGTGAACTTGGGAGAGCAGATGCCGGAGTTTGGGTGGAAGCCACAGCCTGCCTGTTGGGCATAGCAAACATCCCCTTCGTCTCGTTGACCACCCATGCCTGCCGCCCCAGATCGAGCACCTGTATGGCTTGACTGTGTTCGAGAACTACCTGTACGCCACCAACTCGGACAATGCCAACACCCAGCAGAAGACCAGTGTGATCCGCGTGAACCGCTTCAACAGCACTGAGTACCAGGTGGTCACCCGGGTGGACAAGGGTGGCGCCCTGCATATCTACCACCAGAGACGTCAGCCCCGAGGTACGCGGGTTCAGGGACCCCTCCCAAGTGGGCTTCACCCCGACGGGACTCCAAGCTCAGGGCCACAGTTCTTCATTGTCTTCATAGCGAGAGTGCTTCTGGGCCCCCGACCCCAAGCTCCCAAGCCTGGCTTCTGTTCCCACGGATACCCCTACCCCTCCACACCCCCCAGTTCCCTTGTGCCTGAGGCTGAGTTATAGCAGGGCAGTGGAATCTTAGTCCTGTGGCTTCCAAATTCTAAAATGGGACCAGAGCGAAGGCCCGCTCGGATGGCCTGAGCAGAGTCTCGGGGTGCTGACAGCTCTCCACTCTGCGCCCCCCCACCCCAGTGCGGAGTCATGCCTGTGAGAATGACCAGTATGGGAAGCCAGGCGGCTGCTCCGACATCTGTCTGCTGGCCAACAGCCACAAGGCGAGGACCTGCAGGTGCCGGTCCGGCTTCAGCCTGGGAAGTGACGGGAAGTCCTGCAAGAGTGAGTAACCGGGAGGGTTGGGCAGGCGGGCCTCAGATGTGCCCCCACAGCCCGCGGCCTCTGTGGAGATGCAGAGAAGCCAAGGGCAGAGATGTAAGGAACCCACATCCAAGAGCAGCGCGGTCTCTACCGCCCCTTCCTTCATTCCACCGATATCCAGCAAACACACACTGGGTGTTTGACGCTGTTCTGGCAGTGAAGGGTGTGCGAGGGCCTCTCTGGGGATGTGGTATCGAAGCCAAGCTCTCTCTGTGGATGAAGTGAGGTAGCCAGCCACATGGCTCACGAGAGAGAAGAGCGTTTCTGGAGGAGCGCAGGGCAAAGGCCCTGAGGCCGCGGCAGGGTGCGGGGTGCCGAGCAGACCTGGGGGGGCCGAAGGGTGTGAGTGAAGCGATGAGAAGCCCATGGTCGCCGTGGACAGAAAGGGGTGATTGGGTTCACACTGTGTAAGCTTACTCGGTGCTGGGCAGAGGCTGGGCAGCAGGGAAGAAGCCAGGCGGCTATTTCCGAGGCCTGGGTCAGAGTGATGTGGTTTAGGCTAGGATGGCCGCGGAGGAAGTGGAAAGTGACCAGATTCCAACCTATTTTGAAAGTGTTCCTCTTAGGTCCCGAATTTCACTACCGAGGGGTGGAAGTTAAAGGGACCAGCTTCCCTTCTCCGACTTCCCCTCTCACATGTCAAACCCCCCGGGCACGGGAGCCTTGGGACTAGAGTTGAACATGTTATCCCGTGTTCTTTCTGACTGACTCAGAGCTCCGTCTGCTCCATCTCTCCTGACTCAGCCCAGCCAACGCACTGCGGCTGCTCAGACCCAGACTCCCAAGTGGGGTGGTGACCCGTGCGTGCGTGCGTGCATGTGTGCGTGTGCGTGTGTGTGCGTGTGCGTGTGTGTGCATGCGTGTGTGCATGTGTGCGTGTGTGTGTGTGTGTGTGTGCGCACGTGTGCGTGCATGCGTGTGTGCGTGTGTGTGCGTGTGCGTGTGTGTAATTCTGTGCCTGTTATGCTTGCCCTAGAGCCTGAACATGAGCTGTTCCTCGTGTATGGCAAAGGCCGGCCAGGCATCATCCGAGGCATGGACATGGGGGCCAAGGTCCCGGATGAGCACATGATCCCCATTGAGAACCTTATGAATCCGCGGGCTCTGGACTTCCACGCGGAGACTGGCTTCATCTACTTTGCCGACACCACCAGCTACCTCATTGGCCGCCAGAAAATTGATGGCACCGAGCGGGAGACCATCCTGAAGGATGGTAAGGGCCTTAGGGGTGGGAGGTGGGTGGGTGGCACTCCTGAGGCCCGTGGCGCCCGGAACAAGAAGACATCAGAGGCGCAGACATCTCCCTCACAGCATGAAGAGTCCTCTGCCGACTGGCTGGCTGGGCTGGTTGGCATGGAGATGAGGGGAGAGACAGGTTGACCTCTGTGTGACCTCTTTCTTGGCTGAGCCAAAAAGAATCAGGAGGATGGATGGGTTAGGCAGTGTGGGCTGCCTTGGCCAGCCCTTGGGAAAACTTAGGGTCTCTCTGCCACTGGCTCTCTGCCACGGCCCTGGGGCCGTCTGCCGCCTGCAGCCAGGAGAGGCCTGAGGCCCTGAGTCGGAGCTGGGCCCTGGCAGATCAGATGGGGCACAGCCCCAAGTGTACACACACAGTGTGTGCAGCTGCAGCTCACGGCCGCGGGGACCTGCACCTTTGTGTGGCCTGAGAAAACCGTGCCCTGTTAATTCCATCCAGTCTCTCCCTCTGACCTACTTTGGCAGGGGCCACTGTGGAGTATCATCAGAGCCATCCCCATGGAGGCTTCTGGGCTGCGTGTGTTTTGCCTCAGCTCTGTGCTTCGGGGCCCTGGGATCTGGTTCCCTAATCAGTCAATCTGGCTGAGGCCGGTCCCTACCCTGCGCCTTGCACCCCACCCCTCCATGCAACTCAGAGAACTTCAGCAGTCAGCAATCATAAGACTGTGTGGAAATCAGAAGTAACTCCTAGTCAGGAAAAGGTTGGGGTTCCCTTTGCCAGGGGAGCTGCTATTTAGGGGATACTTGAGATGAAGCCTTTGGCTAAGGGAAAAGTTACTTCCTAATTTATTCATTTTGTGAGCTCAGGGCTTTTCGGCCTAGGACCTGGCGTCACACTTGTTCAAGTGGCCCGTCCGTATTGCCTCGGCTGTCCACCT